CAACAGAAAAGATACTGATAATGAAAATAAGGATATAACAGTAACAATGGCCAAAGCAGTACTGGTATTTGCAATTACAATAATAACAAACATAAGGTCTGCTCTTGATTCGCCTGCACGACCTTGCAAAAGAGGAAATTCTCGGCGTGCTTAGCGGACGAGCTGGCGGGGGAAGGGGGGGGGAGGACAGGGGAGGACTGGCGAGAGAGAGGGAGGGGAGGGGAGGGATGAGGAAGAGGGAGGAGAAGGGGTGTCGAGAGAGAGTAGGGGAGGGGATGGCGAGGGGAGAGGGGGATGAGGGAGGAGAAGGGGGGGAGAGTAGGGAGGAGGAGGGGGGGGAGGAACAGGAGGATTGGCGAGAGAGGGTGGGGATGAAGGAGGGGGAGTAGTGGAGTGTCGAGAGAGAGGTGGGTGGATGAGGGAGGAGAAAGGGAGTGTCGAGAGAGAGGGGGGGGGGGAGGAAGAGAGAGGAGTAAGGTGAGGGGTGAGGGAGACAGAGGAATGTGAGAGAAAGGAAGGAGAGGAAGAAAAGGGAGGAGAAGGGGGCGGGGATGGGAGGAGTGGCAAGAGAAAGAGAGAAGGAGGGGGAGGAGGGCGAATGTGATAGGCGGAGGAGGAGGATGGAAAGGAGGAGAAGGGGGCGGGAGTGGGAGGAGAAAGGGGAGGGAGATGAGTGTCGGGATAAAGGGAGGTGGAAGAGGAGAGGGAGAAGAGAAAGAGGAGTGGAGGGACAGAGAAGAAGGGAGAGGAGAGAGGAAGAGGAAGGAGAGAGGATGCTCTGGAAGAAGCAGAATAGGATAAGGAAACAGAGAGGGAAAAGAAGGAGAGAGCAAGAGAGAGGAAAACAGGAAAAGAGACCAAGAGAGAGGGTGCGGATGAGTAGGAAGGAGAGAGAGAGGCAAGATGGAGAGATGGGAGGGGAGTGGAGTACGAGAGGGGGGGGAGGGTATGAGGGTGACGTGGCATTCATCTGTTCCAACTCTTGTGGCACTGGTGGCACTGACTCACCTGGTCTTGGAGTGTATTGTATAATTCCTTCGGGCCGTTTAGAAAGAACCTATTTATTTACGTTAGTCCAATGACTTAAAATTCCTCGTGATTTCCTTTTAAGTGATATTATTGAAACTGTTGATCGAACTTGAGTCATCCTCGACATTCCACAGGGCAGGGTCACACTCGAGCCCATCCAGGGGGAAAACAGAACGGTCATTGATAGTAATAATAAAGATAACAATGATTGTGATGATAACGATGATCTTGATACTACAACTAATAATGATGAATGATGAATGATATTAATGATGAATATGATGATTATAATAATGATAATAATGATGAATATGATTATGATAATGATAATGACAATAACAATGATGATTATCATATCACTAACAAAAGCACACTACAGCAACAACTAGAACAACAACAATGATAATAATAATTATTAATAATCAATATAATAATAACAAAAATGATAATCAGAAAAAAATCATAACCCATACACGACCCCCCCCCCAAAAAAAAAAAAAAAAAATAATAAAATAAAATAAAAAAATACAGATCTTTAAACCCCACTCTACCCTGTGGACGAGAAACCCCAGTCCGCAACGTATGGTAGCCAGCCTACTTACCACACAGCACGCTAGGTGGCAACTCCAGCTTATAATCCCCTACGGAATCTGTAATCTACTCCCCCCCCCTCCTCCTTCACCCCCTCCTCCTCCCCTCCCTCAGTCAGTCAGGTCAAAGCAGGTTCTTCTGGTCATTTTCCTCGCTCATTTGACTCGTGTGGTGAGGACGAGTGCGAGTTCAGGAGTAGTTGCTCGTAGTAGTAATAGTAGTAGTAGTAGAGGGGAAAAAATGATGAATGGGTATATGTGGAGAAATTAAATAAAAAGGTAGGATGGTTTATGGAATTTTGGTTCGGTGTTTGAGGTCCGGTTCAGAGACTGATGTTCGAATTTGTTTGTTTTGCGCAAATCAACAACAAAGACAATAATGATAACGAAAATCTCAATAACGATAACGCTGATAACACTCTGGAAAACACTGATCCACTTTTTCCTTTTTAAACGAAAAAAATTGTACCTTGAACCAGACAGACACGCGTCAAACTTTCCCAAATATCAGAGGAAATTCTTCCCAAATAACATCACTCTAACCCTCGCTATAATGTAGTTGAACAGAATGAATAAATAACGAAAATACAAAAAAAAAAAGACCACACCCTTTCGGCACTTCTACCCTTGGATACGGCGTCTCGTTAAGGTTACATAGTCGTCTGGATTGTTTAGTGGAATTTTACACAGCAGATTAGGGATAGATGAGATAAGGGAGAAGGGGAAGGGATAGCTAGATTGATAGATAGGGAGAGGGAAAAAGAAGGAAGGAGAGAGAAAATAGCTACCAGAGAGAGAGAAGAGAGAGAGAGAGATAGAGACAGAGAGAGAGAGAGAGAGAGGAGTGGGAAAGATAGGTAATAAAATTAATATGAATATACACAGAGACACAGACGAGACGAGGTAAGTAATAGTAATATGTATATATATATTGAGAGCGAGAAGAGTACGTTCGATTGACATATGGAAAGAGGGGGATGATGAATAAATAAGTGGACATAGAGACACAGATGATAGAGAGAGAGAGAGAGAGAGAGAGAGAGAGAGAGAGAGAGAGAGAGAGAGAGAGAGAGAGAGAGATGGAGAGAGAAAGAGAGAGAGAGAGAGCAAAAGCGCGTGGAGTGAGCCTTAGTGAGTTTCTCCGCCAACAGATGGCAGCACCCGCCGTGAGCAAAAGGGCGCGCATCGCGTTGGCGGGAACCCCGTCCGCGCCCGTGATTCGTGGAATTTCCGTTTTTCGACTTATATCTCTCATGTGAATTCGAGGACTTGTCAGCCTGTGCGATAACGGGGATAGATGCCTTGTGGGTTTCCGAGAAGGGATAGCACACTGTTGCCGTATGATAGAATGCGTTTTCCTCCCTCCTTTCTCCCTCCCCCCCCCCCCCCCGTCTCTACCTTCCCGCCCCTCCCCGGCAACCCGCATGTGCGCTCTCAAAAGGCGATTCATTTCCTTAAGAATTCATAAGAAGGAATTCAGATAAGGCGGAGACGGAACTGCAATCAGGTACCTGGGGAAATTGCATCTGTTGGTATGTGCGGGACTTACCAAGGGCGAGCGAGTTAGGAAACAATACTTAGGTAATACAAACTTCACTCGCTCTGACGAAAATCTAGGAGAAACAGGGACAAGACGAGAGAGTGTGAGAGAGCAGCTTACAACACCGATTTTGCCAAACTCAATATGCATTTCCACTCCCTCCAATCATCACCTTTCTCTGCCTCTTTAGCAATACGGAAAAAAGAACAATTCTGAACTCAAAAATACCGGTAAAAAAACCATTCTCAACTCGAAAATTCCGAAAAAAAGACGAATCTCAACTCCAAAACCCCCGAAAAAGAACAACTCCGACACAAAAACACCGAAAAACAACAATTCTTCACGCCAAAACGACGTTCAAACGCCGACCCCCAAAATCCTCACAGGAGCGCAGGGAAGGTACCACAGCAGGAGCAGCAGGAGACGCCGGTCCTCTCCGAAAAGGGATATCTCAGGGCCCGTAGTTCCTTAGTAACAAGGCAGCTGCCCCGAAAGTCTTTGGAACCTTTCAATGGGGAGGAGAGAGAGGGAGAGAGAGAGAGGAGAAGAGGGCGAAGAATTGGGGTATGCAGGAGCGCCGACCACGTGGCTCGACCCCAACTCCAGACGGTCGACCTCCCTCCCTCCCTTCCTTCCCCCCCCCCTCCTTCTGTCCGCCCTCCCCACACCCTTCGCCGCCGACTCCCGAGCCCTGGATTTTTGTACCTAACTGATGCGATAACCTTGTACACTCGGACACGAGGCGGTAATATTGCGAGGCTTAAGAAAGGGCGTGGGAGGGAGATGGAGGAGGTGAGGCGGAGGGAAGGAGAAGGAGGAGGCAGGAGGAGGAGGAGGAGAAGAGGGGCAGGAGAGGAAGAGGAGGAGGAGGAGTGATGTTCCAAGTTGTGAGTGAAAGTAAGCCTTAGGTTAGTTATGCACAGCGAGGCAGCGATTCCCTTTAGAAGCTCACACACTCTCTTTTACGACCGATCTCTTCTCCCTTAATAACCGATCAGAGAAACAAGTACACACAACACACACACACGCACGTACGGTCGCTCCCCGACAGACGCAGACGGACACACGTGCACACAACCCTTAGGAACCCTCTCCCTCCCCTCCACCCCCACCCCCCGTCATCTCAGCCTTCCCAGACGCCCGGATTCGTACCCACACGGGCGGGCAGGCGGCGTGAGGTGCAACGGATGCAGAGAAAATAACTTTTACATCTTTAAGCGAAGAGAGCGAGGGGCGGCACCCGTGAGAGATCGATACGGTTGGGTCCGCATGCATTCCTCTCCTGCTGACGGAGAGAGAGTGTTTGTTCCTGTATTCCTGCCGGTCAAATAACGGCAAGGTTATCTGCGCCCATGGTGGAGGGAGGAAGCGCTGGGGGGTGGAAGGGGGTAGGGGGAAGGGGGGGCTAACAGGAACAGCTCCTTAGTCATAAAAAATAAGGAACTAAGCCCAGGAAAACTTCTCGGTATCACAGCCGGGAGGAAGTGACAAATCCCGGGAGTGCATGGGCGGGAGGGAGGAAGTGTGCGTGTGTTTGTGCGTGCGGGAGAGGGAGGGAGAGAGAGAGAGGGAGGGCGAGGGAGGGGATTCAAGGGCGGATGCTCTGCGATCGGGTTTAAATAGCTGATGGAGGAATGCTGCATGCGGATAGGAACAATGACGATCATAATAACGGCAAAAGGTTAAGATCTCATGGGAGACGCCGGAACCCATCAATAAAGCCACGTTCCGGGGGTGCACCGTGCGGCAGACGATACAGCAGAGAGGGAGTCGGCTTTCAGAAGTGAAGCCTCCGACAGACGATACAGCAGAGAGGACCGCTGTCAGAAGTGAAGCATCCGACAGGCGAGACAGCACAGAGTCCGCTCTGGGCTGGGTCTGACTGCCTCCTCAGCAGTCACGGCTAACGGACTACCCACGCTAGTCCCGCATTCCTCGCACGCCCTTGCCCGGATATCGCTCCTGGGCTGCTTCGCCATCTACGCCGTGACTCCAGCGTGTCATCTCATGTCATTAATGGAGCACCATGGTTGAAAAAGAAGTGAAAAACGCACGTACGAACACGAGCGAGAGCGAGTGCATGCGTATGCGGCCCCGAGTTTGTATTGAATACCAGGCGAGTGACGTCACGACCGCGCAACTGCCGAGTGAGACAGTACCCCTCCGCGCGGAGCCTAGTTCCCGTCTGGTGTGTTGTTTTCGCTAACATCGCGATTGTCACTCTTTCTCTTCATCATTCTTACATTCTAAGACATTCTTAAGATTCAAATCCTTCCGTTTGTCCACTAGGTGTCTGCAAAAGAGCGATTGCGCTAGTGTTTATAAGAATGTTTTGGAACCGCGCGGAGTAATCACCGCAGCAATAAAAGCTTCGTCGGTTCAGTCACACCGATAGTACTACGCTGACCACGGAGGTGAACATTACACTCCTCTCTCCTTACGGTCGAGCCAAGGCGTTGATCCTCGCGTGTTATTTATCAGTGGAAAAAACTTTGAACACTCTCTCTGGATTTACCTGTGTTTTACCAAGCCACCTAAGTGGGACACGATGTTTAAGGTGTTTACATCAGTGAATAGTTACCTCAACCCAGGACCTGTTATGGGAATTCCACAAGAAAACTTCAAACAAGGTTGGTGTTTGTGAACTTAGTCTCCTGTAGTGCATAAGGAAAAGTGGTTTAGATTTACCCTCATGATTACAAGTGATGTATAGTTAAGGAAAAGTGTCTGCAGTGTATAGTGCATTCTAGCCTAAGATTTAGTGTGTAATGTCACATGAACCTGTACACTTTGAAGTAAAATCTTCTACTCGAAGTGAACGGTACATGTACAAGTTGGTGTACAACCAAAATATGTACACTTGTTCCACAATTCTTGCCTAACGTGCTGGTTTCTCTCTTTTGCAGTAACCATGCCAGTCCGAGAACACCTGCATCATCACAACCATCACAACCACCACAACCATCACAACCACCACAATCACCACAACCACCACACACAACAGCCCTTCGACCGCCAGTACAGAGTCGGCCACATCTTGGGCGAAGGCGGTTTTGGGCGTGTGTATGCAGGCTTCAGAAAGATGGACAACCTTCCTGTGGCCATTAAACAGATTGCGAAGTCAAAAGTGCCTGCCTGGGGCTGGGTAAGTGTCTCTGCTTGTGTTTCAGTTGTTCTTGAGTGTGTTCAGGCGGTTAGGTCAGGTGAAATATGATATATCAGTGTTTTCGATATGTATATGCAATGTGAAAGTGTAGTGTTAGTGAAGTGATCAAGTGTTTGGTAACCGCGACCCTTAGAAGCTGCCTTGGGCATTTTTCTCTCAATCTGGGCACTCGACCTGCCAAGGAGCTAAAGATGGGCATGTCCTATATAGGCAAACGAGTGTGAAAAGCAGTCAATTGCTGCAAAGTGTGGGGCCTTGGCCAGCCAGCGATGCAAGGCGGTGGTAGGCCACGGTAACCTACTTAGAAACATGTTCTGTCACTGGAGCGAAGGTGGCTGCTGGCGAGCTGGCTGGCGCGGTGGACGAGGAGGTGGCAGATGCTAGGTTGTTCGTATGTTGTATGTCGTGAAAGTTTAGAGCATTAGGATTAAGTTCAAGTCGTGTGCAAGTTGAGGTGTTCGCGTGTCGAAAGCAGAAGCGGCGGGCGCGGAAGCATCACCAGCTTGTGGCACTTTCGAGTTTCTCCGGAACGGTAACACGTTGCGCAAGACGCATGTTAGGTAAACACGTGAAATGTTGACGTATCTGCGAACATAGTTCTCGTTGCATGCATGCGCGCGCGTGCATGCGTGCTGTATATGGGTCAGGCAACCTGATTTAGTGACACGTGAGGTAGGAAGGTAAACAAACCCTCCCACATCACGACTGCAGTTGCCTTGTGATGTGACCTCGTTTGCAGTGTGTGTGTTTACCGTCCTTGGGGAAGCTAGGAGGAGGTGGAAGTGACTCTGGGAAAAGATAGTGAGGAAATAAAATCAGAAGTTTTACATGTGGGAGAGAATGCACCTGCGTTGCAGCGACGTAGAAGTGTCTGGCTGCAGTGAATGTGCGAAGGACTTAGGAGTAAATCGTGGATGAGTTTTACGTAAGAAGGGCCTTCAGTGATGCAGGGTTTCGTGTGGCGAGTCGGAAGAGAACGGGATCTTAGGCTTTTTACGTGAGTGTAAAGTGAATGTTTGGGGACACTGGAGAGAGAGAGAGAGAGAGAGAGAGAGAGAGAGAGAGAGAGAGAGAGAGAGAGAGAGAGAGAGAGAGAGAGAGAGAGAGAGAGAGACGGACGTTAAAGGGGGTGAGGGTGAGTGTTTGGGTTCGCTCGGCTCTGCATGGTGACTTTCAATCGATGTCGGGTGAGTCCGTCCTTCGTCCGTTGCGCAAGGCATGCAGATCCCCCCACCCCACCCCTCCCTCCCGCCCGTCCCCTCTCCCACGACTCCCGCTTAACCTCGTGGTTCTTGGGGGATGGGATGGGAGAGGAGGCAGGGTTCCCATGTCACTCTCGGCGCAGGGAATGAACTTGTGTCTGTATGAACGTATGTTTGCACGGACATAGGATTTCGATCGGTTTCTAGCACAGGGAGGTGCGACGGGTCAGACAACCTAGTTTCGAGGCTGCTGCTTAGAAGAGGGTGGTAGGGAGAGCGGGGGGAGGGGGAGGGTGTTCGGCGAAGAGAGCAAGTGTACCTGGCGACAGGTATGAGGCCGAGGAAGAGGTCATCATGCGTTGGCTCAGAACCAGATAGATACCGGGCTGGTGAACCATGTAGTCATGGTACCCGGTACTCGGAACGGCGGGAAATCTTAGGAAAAATTTATGGTTCTCGGGTATTTGGCCTTTCTCTTTTTATGTGATCAGCTCCATCCACGCGAAGGGAAGGAGGCGATCGTTACGAGGAGCGTGCGTGGGAGAGGGAATAGGTGCACAGCCTGGGCGTTGGGAAATTTTTCTTCCAAGGTACAAAAATGGCCGGGATATTGGCAACACTTTGGCCAAACGCACGGTGAGTGGACAGGATCGAGGTGGGGGCGGAGGAGTAGGAGGGGGAGGGGAAGGGAGGGGGGTAGAGGGGGATCGGTGGAGGTAAAACCCACCTCTCACAGACTGTCGTCATGGCGATGCGTCCCTCCGCCCTCCTCAGGGGCACCTGTGACATGATTTTGAATTCATTATGGGAGTTTTGACGTTTCGCCCGTGGGATTAGTGGGAGGTTAACGGCATCTCTCTCTCTCTCTCTCTCTCTCTCTCTCTCTCTCTCTCTCTCTCTCTCTCTCTCTCTCTCTCTCTCTCTCTCTCTCTTTTGTTCGTATTTGGGGCGTCTGGTAATGCACAGGCCGCAGTGCTGTTGCGTAACCCGGATTCTGCTTACTTTCCCCGAGTATAAACGCCGTGGCGGCTCTCGCGCGCGCGTGTGTTGTATAAGGGACATTACAGCAAACACCTATTGGATGGCGGGCGAAGAAAGGAACAAGCAGGAACAGTTTGGTCTCTTGTTGCCAAACAGTATGGTCAGACTCGTGTCGGTTGCCAAGTGAAAGTAGCCGGAGTAACCCGGTCCTGCTTCCTGGAATGAGCCCAACTTGTAGGGAATCCATGGGCAGATATGGGGGGGCGGGCCCTGCAGCTTTCTAAGGGAGCGTTACCTTGTTCATAGTATAGGTTGCTTTAGTGTTTGTGATGTGTTTGTGTGGTGAATGAGGCATCCGGGACTTACGAGGTTTCTTTCCGTCTTTGCAGATAAACGGCGAGCGAGTTCCTCTCGAGATCTGCCTCTTGAAGAGGGTCTCCCACGTCCCCGGCGTCATCAGACTGATCACGTGGTACGAGTTCTCCGACTGCTTCGTGATCGTCATGGAGCGACCCGAAGCCGTCAAGGATCTCTTCGATTACATCACGGATCGGAAGCGAGTGCCCGAGCCCGAGGCGCGGTACCTCTTCCGCCAGGTGGTCGACGTGGTGCGACAGTGCCACGCCGCCGGTGTCATCCACAGGGACATCAAGGACGAGAACCTCCTCATCACCACCAACAGACAGGGCAGAAAGGTCATCAAGCTCATCGACTTCGGCTCGGGGGCGTTCCTCAAGGACAACATCTACACTGACTTTGATGGTGAGTGTCGGGCCTTGGCGGCCTCTCGCGCCCTTGCGGGCTTTGCTTGCAATAGGATGTGAAATATATGAAATATGCAAGATGGCTGCGAGGACGACCACGCAGTTGTTGCTGCTGGTGAGTCACTCGAACGTCACCTGGTGGGTGTGGTGGCGTAGCGGCGGGTCGGGGCGGCGCCGGGCGTCAGGTTACCGTGGCGCGGCGCCAGCACCTCACGCGACCGCCGCCGCCCGCCGCCGCCACCACCGGGTCGCCATCCCCCCCCTCCCCCGCCACCACTCAAAGTAATTTTAGGCGCGATGGTCACGCTGAGCCTTGCCCGCCGCTGACTCATGTCCTTCCCACAGTCACTGACCTTGTTTCTCCTTCTGCTTGCAGGAACCCGAGTTTACTCTCCCCCCGAGTGGATCAAGCAGAAGCAGTACCAGGCGGGACCTGCGACGGTGTGGTCGCTGGGCATCTTGCTCTACGACCTCGTTTGTGGCGACATTCCCTTTGCACAAGACGAGCAGATCATCTCGGCGATACTGGACTTCCGCGTGAGTGTGTCCGACGAGTGCCAGGACCTGATCCGCCAGTGCCTCAGCGTCCGGCCGGAGGACAGACCCACGTTAGAGCAGATCCTGCAGCACCCCTGGATGAAGGGCCCCCGCGACTCCGGCGCAGGCCTGGTGGGCTGCATGGGCGGCTCCCTGGGACCCATGGGCCTCATCTCGGACTCCTTGCTCGACAGCGACGCCTCCTCCCTGGACAAGCACTCGACGGGCAGCGACGCCTCCCGCGAGTCGGAGTCGGAGTTTTGACGTCCGGGAGCAGGGTAGTCGCGCTAGCCGTCGTGTTAGGGCCGGACCCAGCCGCTTGTGAAACGTCCCCGCCCGGTGCGGAGGCGCTGGTCGCCACACCTCGCAGTGCCGCCTTCCCGCCGCCTATGGAGCGGGGGGCGGCGCCCTCAGGCCCCCAGCCTGGTCGGTGCTACCCCAGTTAGGGACCCCAGTGCCCAGTGCACGCTAATCTCACCAAAGCCTCGGCAGCGTCCGTCGCGAGGCCCTCGCCCGCGGCGGAGGTTGTGTCTCGTTTTCTCCAAGAGAAATTGTACATAATGTAATTTAAATTTATATTTATAGTAAGTTATATTGTAAATATTGTAATAAATCCGCTTTTAATAATAATTTATCTGTCATGTTTTGACAGTGGATGCCATCAATGCAACAGACTTTTGTATTAAACATGAAATATGGTTTATACCGTGAGATTCATATTTTTGTATAAAATGACAAAATTCCTATGATGCAAATAAAATGCTGACAGTACTTCAACAACTTGTTATATTTACCTCATAACAACCCTATACACTTGAACTAAAGATGCTTTGAAAAATGACAAGACAATCACAATATCAGTATGAAAAGATGAAGCAAATGAAAAAGAGAAAGATAATGAAATGAAAAGGAGAGAAGGTGAAAATGCACTTGTGAGGATGATAGTGATTGGCTGGATAAAGCCATTGTATTTCAAATGATTTTCATCACAAATTGTCAAGTATCATTTAAGAGTCATCACCATCTCGTCAGTTATCCGTTCATTATCACCATCTTCCTCAGTGCATTTTCACCACGGAAATAAATATAATACTTCGCCAAATCTTTAAGACTATGTCTAAAGTTGCTGCAAAAAGTCTACGGGATTTTCACGAATGATTTGAATAAACGCAGAGTCCAAATAATATCTATAATTATAAGAAAACCGAATTGTAAGACTTTCTTAACATTTCCCCGAAACACAAGAATATATCTATAATTATTGTAAGCTTTCTTAACATTTCCCCGAAACACAAGAATTAGCTCCCCCCCAAAAAAAAAAAAAAAAAAAAAAACAAGAATAAGACGTAAATACATAACAGGATATAAACGCACTTTTCGATAGCTACAAACAGTTCAACCAGTGGCCAGTATTGCGTCACAACCTGTTCTTTTCCTTAAGTACAATGTCATCGCAACATTCGCTTCTGGGTCGAGTGTTGCCCCACCGAAGCCCGAACTTTCTACCTCAGGGTTTTCCAACAGATCGAGCCTATTATTGCAACGTAGATCCGCCCCCTCCCCATCCTTTGGCAATGGGGGGGGGGGGTGTTTTACGTCGCCATTCCTCCCCCCAAAAACACGTGTCTTGGCCCCTCATGTAATTTTCCAGGCTTACGAAAAGAAAACAATAACCTCTGTTTAGCATCCAACCTTGCGTCTTGTTCATGGAGAATATAAATACACACCGGCACAACATCCGCAAACGCATCAACAAACATTGCATTGGCATACTTTCTCTCCCGTTGTGTACACGTGGATGCCCACAAACAAACACGAGCATGCACGCCCACTCACACATACACACACACATGCACGCACACACATATATATACACGCACGCGCACACATACACATGCAAACACAAACACACACACACACATACACACATACACATGCACATATACACGAACATACACACACACACACACACACACACACACACACACACACACACACACACACACACACACACACACACACACACACATACACAAACACGGACACGCGCACCCACACACATACACACATGTACAGCACAGCAAAAAACATCAATAACAACATACTAACAGTAACGTACGCACAGATATGAATACACAGATGAAAACGAATGCATATGTACACAACATCGATGACAATATACACAAGATGATGCACGAAGATTCCTAAACATGTAAACACGCAAACAAAAACAAACAAACGCACGCCACGTATCTGTATGCATATATATGTTTTTTTTTATTTTTTCACACTTTTTGCTTGTGAATTATTTCCTAGACTTGGAAGAAAAGGCGATACTGACATTTTTTTTTTCCGTTTTATTTCCGTGGGGATATATTTTTCTTTTGAGACACCTTCCTCGCCAATAATTCTATTCTATTTCTAGAACAATTCCCCAGAAACCAAATTTCCATGAAAATCGATTCACAACATCATACGTTTTGACATTTCTTTCCTCAAGTTGATTTCTTGGAAAATGGGGCAAAAGTCTACGGGGTCAACATCCACATTTCATTTGCACCTTTTGCTTTTATCATACAAATCAGTTATTTACTTAATGATATTTACTTGCACATCAAAACTATCCAGTGCCTCTTAAAGCCGAATGTTTTTTCTTTCTTTTTTATGCATCATATATCATACTACGAATATATGCAAACAATACTTTGTGCAAGTTAGATACAGTATATGCCCAGCAATAAGAGAAAATACTAGAGTAAATAAATCCTTTTAGACTACATATCATGCAAGATTTGACTCATGCTGTGATATGGACCCCGTTTAACCCTTGGAAAAAAATTAGTGGCAGCGGTGGGATTCGAACCCACGCCTCCGAAGAGACTGGTGCCTTAAACCAGCGCCTTAGACCGCTCGGCCACGCTACCCATAAGAACTATTGGGAAGTAACTACAATACTAAAATATAGGGCATACATACAAAAAAACACTCATTTCTCTCTCTTTCTTTTTCTTTCTTCTTTCTTTCTCTCTCTCTTCTCTCTCTCTCTCTCTCTCTCTCTCTCTCTCTCTCTCTCTCTCTCTCTCTCTCTCTCTCTCTCTCTCTCTCTCTCTCTCTCTCTCTCTCTCTCTCTCTCTCTCTCTCTCTCTCTCTCTCTCTCTCTCTCTCCTCTCTCTCCTCTCTCTGTGTCTCTCTCTCCTCTCTCTCTCTCTTTCTCCTCTCCCCCCCCCTCTCTGTCTCACACACACTATCTATCTATATGTCAGTGTAACTGTTGTTTGTCTATCTCTATCGATCTATCAATCTTCTTAACATATCGATCTATCTAGCTTTCATATACATCTATCGGTATGTTTAGCTAATCAACAATCTATCTGCCTATCATATCTATCTAGATTATCTATTCATCTATCTATTTAGATTATCTATTCATCTATCTACTTAGATTTTCTATTCATCTCTCTAATCTCTCTATCTCTCTATGTATGTGCGTTTGTGCTTACATCCACACACACACACACACACACACAGACACATACACAAACATGTATGTATACACACATATGTATGTGTACATGTGTGTACATATGCATACATATACATATATACATAGACACATGCGTAATTGTGTGTTCCGTGCGTGTGGGCGTGTGTGTAGCTATGTATGACTATAGGAAGATAGAACTAAACCTCTTTGGCGCGTGGGTGTACGTACGAGTATGCATATGAATATCACGTTGCACGGATACATCTTTCCCTTTCAACATGAATCAAACAGGAATACATAAATGCACTCATAATATAAAACAAACTCAGAGGTCACGCTCCTCCCCCAAAGAAAAGAGAGAGAAAAAAGAGAAAATGCAGTCTTGAATGCAGTGCTCCCCTTGCGCCGCCGCCAGGTGCACCAACTTAAAATCAATACTCAGGCAAATGCACAGTCTGTCAGACAGAGCTTAATGCGTAGTTGGCAGTCACACAGAAGTCCCATTTCCATCACAGTCCAAATCTGACCAAATTGCAAAATTCGCCCTTCCGGTCACGAAAAGAATGCCAGCTTGCGAAGGCACTAGACTGGCACGCAAACGGTGCATGTCGGGGGGAGTTGTCTGCAAGACGTCTTCTCCTCTCTCGCAGCCCGAGGTCGATTCCCCCCACGGGACGGATTTTCATAATAAACATTGATCTGCAGAAGGGAAGTAGGTGATGGACGCTCAGACGCCGGCTGCAGCACCGCCCCACTATCATGTCGTGACCGCTAGGCTCTCCAAGGTCACACGAGGTGTCCTCCTCCTCCTCCTCCTCCTCCTCCTCTGCTGCTGCTCCACCTCCTCCTCTGCTCCTCTTTTCCCCTTCTTCCTCTTCTCCTCCTTGTTCCCCTTTCCTCCTCCTTCCTCCACTTTTCTCTACCTACTTTCCACCCACTTTCCACTCTTCTCTGCCATCAGCTAATACTTTGGTGTGTTGTAACTGAAATTTGTCTAATATATATATACATATGTGTGTGTATGTGTGTGTATGTGTGCGTGCGTGCGTGTGTGTGTGTGTGTGTGCATATACATTTACATACATATATATACATATGTGTGTGTGTGGATACGTGTGCATACTGATACTATTTCTGCCATTTCTCTCTTTCTCACTCTTTACTCTCCTGCCTTTCTGTTTTTCATGTGTGTGTGTTTATATATATTGTTTCAAATTGCTAGCATTTTTTTTGCCAGAAACACGATTTTTTCTTCCAAAATCAGACGGAATTCCATTACGTTTGCCAAACCATGTGCTACGTTCGTGCAGGTCGCCTCCCAGCCAGACCCTCGCTATCTAGTCTAGTAACGCCATTCCTATCAGTGCTCTTTAGCCTACGTCACTCTTTCCTTACTCTTTACTTACAACCCCAATTACCGACTTGTGCAACAACCGAACTACAAACCACCCTACAATATCCTTTGGCATACATTCGTTCGTTCGCTACTCCCCCCTCCCCCCCCCGTTTTCCACGCCCACCTCTCTCGGCCTATGAAAACCCTGCCACACCCACCCTCTCCCCCAATGCTCGCCGGCTATTCTCCCCAAGTTCGTATCTCTCGTATCACAGCCCTGCCCCCGAAATCCCCTCCCTATCTCCCTCTCCCTCACTTCTCCCCCCTCCCCCCCCTTTCCCCCTCCCTCGCCACGCCTCCACCAGACAGCCATTTGTCCTCCATGGCACTCTACCATTCATACTTCAACACCGCTGGCACTCGAGAACCTGCAGGCCATGGCAATGCCGGTGATAAAAGACTTCATCGAGAATTCAGAAAGGTAGATTTATATATTTTTTCGAATATATAAAACTTCCTTTTTATTTGGGGATTAAAAAAATACCTTCTATTAATAACTAAAGGCAGACGAGATGTATTGCTGCAGATACCAATATAGCAATGGCCCCAGCGACGATAACAATTGTAGTAAACAAGATAAGAGAATGATAAAGCGAACGGCAATGTTACCAAATGAGGTAACATTATACGCGGCGCAACATTCGCTCACTACGCACCTACCGAGATTAAAAAAAAAGAAATAACGACGAAAGACTCTTAAACAACCCCCCATCCCCCCCTTCCACACCTCCACGAAACCCCACCTCCCACGAACCCGCATTTCCACCTGGTCATCAGACGCTGCGAAAAGGACAGCGTGCTTGGGTTCCTTATCGGCGTGCCTGCGTGGATTGTGTCGTGTGCCCATCACGTGGCTCGCTCATGACTCCACTGCGCAACGCCGGACACAAGGGGCCG